GACTATACACCAAATACTATATAATATACGCAACTTACCTGCAATTTAATTTACTGTAAGAAACACCAATCTTTACACGAAAGCGCTGCACACAAAATTGACCGCACGTAACGAAAATGTTCTCTAATTTGACAGTCAACGAAGTTGCTAGCCTAAAAAACTTTTTGGGTTACCACAATTTATTACAAAATCTACCAACATCTGCGAAATAACATAAACTACCACAGACAAAACAAAAATTAAGTTGAACTAGTATAGAGTATGCTTAGGTATACCTACGGAAAGTAAAGAGATGCCACAGTTGACGGTAGTCTGATGGTGTCGGGTATTTCGTGGTGTAAATAAAAGTTCGACTCACGTATCACCAAGTTAACTCGTCGAGTACCGGTTTTGTAGACACAATTATAGAACAATAGGTTGCGGTCACCGGTGACCGCTTGGTGTTTGACAGTTTAATTTGATGGATCCGACACACGTGTAATACAGAAGGCTCAGTAGGAAAGTCACAAGCACATAAATAAGCACAGCACAGAGATAGCGAGAAAACAGTCAGTATTAGAAGTAATAAGGAATAGATAGAAGATATTTGCGATAGAATGAACGTAATTTTTACAGCGTTAAACAAGTGAAAGAAATATATTATTTTTTTTTTCTTTAAAAAAAAAACGTTGCCTTACACTAGGATTATCTCCTGTGTCGTGGGTGCGTTTACAAATATACCAGTTCACATACACATGACACCCAGACCCGAAACAACAATTTGTGGATCACACAAAGTGTTGTTCCGTGCGGGAATCGAACCCGCGACACGTTGCACGGCAGCCGGTTGCCCAGCTACCGCTCCAACCGTGCAGTCGAAAGTCGATTATCTATGCGCGTCGTAGCAAAATCTCGGCAAGACTGGTTCGGCAGGTATGCGCGCACACGCATCGATAAGCGATCATCGGTAGCTATCGATAGTTATAACTATATTGATAATTAGTGATGAGGGTTCAGTCGATAGTTTAACAATTATCGACTATCGATGGAATTTTTATCGACCAACTGGTAAGGGAGTAATATGTATTCCGTACAAAACGTAAATATGTATATAAATGTATGTAGGTGTATGTGTATAGATCTGTTAGTGTAATTGTGTTAGTTTTTAGGTTTATTTTAATTAGTTGGTTAGTTTGATTAGTTTCCTGAAAACACGAAGTTAAACGTTACGTCTAATTATTTTAGACAAATAACGGCAGTAAATCCTTTTTTACAGTAAGCACATCGACCGTATTCTGTACCACGCTCAGGAAAATGGTCGATATTGTCATAGCACGTTTAGGTTTTTTTTATTTTTTCATCCGGGTTCAAATCTTTGATTGTTGTTTTATCAACGTTTTTTCCTTTGTCAAGTAATGCTCCATAAATTTCGAGGCGAAATTCTTTCAAAGGTTTAACCTTTTTAATTCCTTTTCGAGAACTATCTCTCCTATACATCAACCACGCGTTGTTGACACAGATGTCTAATAACTGTAACAATATCGATAGATACCAACGTCTGCAAGTCATTTCTGTGCGGTATAGTGCAATGAGCATATCCTCCAAATCGACGCCACCCATGTGGGCATTATAATACTTAACTATAATCAGATTGTTCTGAGATCTGCAGACGGAGGAGTAAGGGGCCGGAAGTTTAGAATGACCTCTGTCTGTGCCAGGCAAGTTGACATTTCCTCATATGTGAGGTGTGTATTCTCCTAAGATGATGCTTGACAGACTTTACAGTATATACATGATTCATGTATAAATCGCCTATTAAGTTCACTCCAGTAAGGAAATTGTCAAATGCCAAGAATGTGTATAGGCAAGTTTTGATTAAATTCCCAATAAACATTGTCATCTAAGCCTTCATGTTCCATGTTATCTCCCTTTCCAGTATAAACTTTAAATTTATATAATTATCTCGTTTTAGCGTCACGTCGAGCCCACACCCTGAATCCGCGCTTTATGGGGTTCCTCGGCATATACTGTTTTAAAGTACATCGCTCCTTAAACTTCACCATGCTTTTGTCAATGGACTGAATACGGTGAGCGGTTTGTTTCTGAAAAATGTCATTTAGCTCGTTTAGTTCGGTCGTAGTTTGTCATAATTCGGAGAGTTTCCGGGTGATGCTAAAGAATTGTCATTTAAATGTTAAGTTTTGTATGGTGTTCTTGAATATTTTTAGCGTAGAAACTTTTGATATATCGGAGTTATTATAGAACGAATCTGTCGACCAGTAACATTCCATACTAGGTAATGAGTTAAGTACTTAATTAAGCACTTATATCGTTATCTGTTACGTCAGACCAGCTTCTACTCGATTTTTGTTATGCATATTTATTTTGTCTGTATTGCAATTTTGGATATGAGATATCTCGGGAATCAAATTCACGAATATTTGGATAGGTTATGTTCCGTGAATATACACTGCCTAGGGGATGATTTTATTGGTAAAGTTTGGAATGGTATGAATCTGTTCTGCAGTTTTCCATTCACTGAGATTATAATTGAATCTTTCTATTCTATTTATTCTTTAGTTGGTCTTGCAGGGCTGGGTTGGTCGTTAACTGATCCCTTTCGTTCCTCCTATTTTTATTGAATAAGACTAAGAAAAGGTAACCAAGTTTCCTCCTTGAAAATGACGCGAATCCAAAACGCCAACCTTGTTAGTTACAGAATTTTTAACGCTTGTTTATTACAGCGGTGACTGCACGACAACATTTCTTTTTTCACATACCTTGAAGATTTTTTGTCCATCTTCTACTACTTTTGGGGTTGGCCAAATATAATACGTTATATTATCACATATTGGTTTTTCTCATAAAATCTATACATATTTTTTTCATTACAATTCAGCAATTGTGTTTTGACATGTGTACACCAAGGGAAACATCGCCTTTAGCTTTTCTAGTTGTGAATAGGTACTGGGACCTCAGATGTGATTCAGTGTTGTAGTGTTTCTGATGCTGAAGGTAGCATTCTCGGAGGTTCAGATTTGAATCGGTAACGGTTTGTTTATACTGCTGAATAAGTGAGATCTGCTGTCGTACACCTACGTGCTTTTTGTGATTTCTATAGCAATTCTCCACGGAGTAAAGTCCGTGCCTATAACGTATTTCATCTGAGCACAAATTATTACAGTAGAATGCGTGCTGTTTCTTTCATTTGTCGACTCGCTCTCGCGGAAGGTACCCATGTACGTGTACAACGTATGTGCAATTGATCCGATCAACCATTTTGCAGGGAACCGAACAACCGAACACAACGCCTATCGACTATAGGTTCACAATATATAAACTTTGTAAGCTTTACTGGAGTCAGCGAAGGTTTTAATAGTGATGAAACGGTTTTGATTTTACTAGTTTGTTATTTTACGATTTTCAATGCGAAGTTTTGCACTCACTACGCATTTTTTCAATTAACCACTTTGATCATGACATGTGAAGGTACTCCACGTTTTTGAATAAGAGTAATTCACTTCTTTGTCATGACATTCGAGTACAAAGTTCTTTGCCAGGATGATAAACTACCAGTAAGTAGAGATTGGCACTGGGCAAAACTCAGAGGGAATATACCCAGGATTTTTCCTATTTGGGAAAAAACCGGGTTTTATGCGCGGGAAAAACCCAATACACTGGTATTTTCATCACAGAACATAAATACTCTAACGAGAAAAATAACGACTTCATGCATAATAGTTATTAGATATGGGTGCAGGTCAGAAAAGAAAAAAAACATGTGTCCTCAACGACTGTTATATTTCGAAAAAAAATGACAATTGTCAGTTAAAGTGAAATGTCAACGACTGTTACAAAATGTTCAATTTAAGTGAACATTGAACGATCCAATGTTTGACAAATGATTGAAGTATGCTATGTATGAACTTGGATATTTGTATAGGTACATAATGCGTATATTCCAACGGTCCCCCTCAAATATTCAAGCATTTTATACAATCATAAATAGTACGTACATACAGCATTTCAAATTACAATAACTTTGATTAACAGCTTAGATTATTTGTTGTAACCAAAACATTCTAAATAAAAGCATTCTAAATAAAATCATTTAACAATCAATCAATCATAAAAAATATTGAAAAGTTTAAATTAAGTTCAACTTATGCCTTAATTCTAAAAACTTCGCAGCGTGCACCATTTTTGTAAAGATGTCAGCTAGTTGATCTCCTGTGGAAATATATTCTAGCTTTATTACTTTGTTAGCAATTTGTTACCTGGTAAAGTGGTACTTTATATCGATATGCTTGGACCGTTTGTGATTTGTAGGATTATTAGCAATGCTAATACAACTGTTGTTATCTTCATATATAATTATTGGTTGTTTTATCGGAATAGAAATACTATGTAATGATGATTTTAGTCAAATAGCTTCTCTTACAGCTTCAAATAAAGCCATATATTCAGCTTCTGTTGAGGAAGCGGCGACTGTATTTTGTTTCCGTGTATTCCATGAAATTGCACAATTATCGAACACTTTAAATATGTGTCCTGTTGTACTTTTTCGGTCAATACCGTCGCCTCCCCAATCAGAATCTGCATACCCTACTACCAGTTGTTTGTAATCACATTTCATATAGGTCAGCTTTAAGTTAACAGTTCCTTTTATGTATCTCAAAAGATGTTTTAAGCATTTCCATAACTCTTCATTATTTTTACTTTGATACCGACTTAAAATACCTATAGCAGCACAAATATCTGGTCGTGTACAAAGCATTGCGTACATAAGGCACCCTATAACGTTTCTACAATGAGCATCATAATGTATATCCGAGTTTAAAGCATTACTAGCGGCCCGGTACGTGCTTCGCTACGTATAAAGTGAAATAAAATAAACAAATCGGAACATCAAATTCATTTATTTAATCAAAAAAATATTTTATTTAAAATCGAAATCAATTGCTAGCTATTTACAACACACTTAATCCAAAACATTTGGATAAACAATATTTTTAGTTTTTCCATTTTGAGCATAAATAAACAAACGGCTGGGGGTACCGACTCTGGAACAGGCAACATATAACTGGCCATGTGAAAAACAATGTTCCTCCAAATTCACACCACAAACGTGAAGTGTTTGACCTTGGGCCTTGTTGATGGACATCGCAAATGATAAACGCACAGGATATTGTAAACGTTTGAACTCAAAAGGCATATCAGTTGGAATCATAGGTATACGCGGTATCAAAACAACTTCTCCTTTTGATTTACCAGTTAAGATCGTAGCTTCAATCAAATTTGGCAATAACTTTTTCACTGCCAATCTGGTTCCGTTACACAGTTTTGGTGGATTAATATTTCGCAATAATATAATCGAAGAACCAACTTTCAGATTCAAGCAATGCGGTGGCATACCAGCCGGCTCCAATGAATTTAAAAATTCAATTGGATAATTCATTGCCTCATCTTGATTCATAACACTGTCAATTGATTTATATTTCGTGACTACGCCTGGCAGTTTCGCTTGAATTTGAAAATTAATTGCATTGACATGAATGTTTTTCGGTGCTAAAATGGCGCGTTCTGTCAACCAATCATGATTTCTGTAATTCTGAACAATATTCGGAAAAACACATTCAATCAATTCATCTATCGATTGCGCAATTGTACAAAAATTGTTCGGTACAGCGATCAATCCGTTGGTTCTGTCGATTTGTATTTTGCCGTCACCAATTTCTAACAATTGTTTTGAGAACTCATGGGCAGCTGGATCATTTTGTAGGTGAACACGCATATTAATGTTTAGTGTCAATTTTTGTAGATATCTCCAAAGAACTGATGACTTCAAGCAGGCATTTATTTCATCAGCAGGAGTTGATCGAGGAATGACAGGCAATGTTTGACGAAAATCCCCTGAAAGTAATATCAAAGCACCACCAAAAAGCTGTTGATTACCACGTAAATCTTGCATTGTTCGATTGAATGCTTCTAGTGATTTTTTATTCGCCATTGTACACTCATCCCATAAAATAATTGACGTTAATCGCAGAACTTTTGCCATAGCAGAATTTCTCGATATATTGCAAGTTGGAGTTTCAATCACCTGTACATTCAATGGCAATTTTAATGCAGAGTGTGCGGTCCGACCACCTTCTAATAATGTAGCAGCAATTCCCGAAGATGCAAGTGCTAGTGCAATTTTCTGATCTGATCGAATAGTCGCTAAAATCAATGATATAACGAACGTTTTACCTGTGCCACCAGGTGCATCCAAAAAATATAATCCACCTGCATTATTGGAAACGGCTTGCATGATTGTATCATATACATGTTTTTGCTGAATATTTAATTTGGTTATATTCGATTGTACAAATAAACGCAAATCATTACAGTTGAATTCCTGCTCACGTTGCAATTCACGATCAAACAAATCATGCATGGGACGATTTGGTGCGGTCATACCCAATTGTACTAATGCTTTATTTGCAATCGTTAGACATATATCTTCAATTATTATCAAAGCTTCGTTGCACATTTCCAAGGTAATCAACAAATCAGGATTTCTTGCATGATGACGCATACGAATTAAAATATCTTCTGCCATATAATTTTTATATTTGTTCCATAATTCAAGTGGATTTGATGGCATACATGTCGATAATATAATGGCAAATAGCATTCGTATTTGTTGTGGATGAGCTGACGTAGATGCATCATTAAGTGTTGAATCCCAATGTGCATCATCCTCCAACAAATGCAAGAGTTGACATGCTTCACGATATGTTTGACACAAATGACCGTCGACTGTTCTTAATTCTTGAAATGATTTTGGGCCATTGACGTTAACTAATAGCAATCGCAAATAAAAACACTCAGCATTGTTTGGATGTACTGTATACATTCTCCCAATTGCATCTGTTTTGAAAATGCCTGAATGCCCATCGACTGCTGTTCCTTGTTTACGTCTTTGAAATTTTTTTGAAGACACATTCCATGTATAGTACTGAGGCACTTCGGAATATAACAAATTTCTAGCAAATGTATCAGTTTCGCATAATTTGAAAAAAGCTGTCAACGTAGTCGCTGGTGGGTGTGCTGCTCTTTCCAATGCATTTGCTTCATTAAAATAAATACGTTGGCCATTCTCAAGATGCACAGCTAAGTGAACAACCACAGGATGTCTTTCGTGCATTGGAAACGACAGAATCCTCCAGACAGCTTCATTACTACTAATATAGCGCCCCAGTTGATACTGAGTAATTTCATCATTTCTATTATCACCAGCTACACCGAAAACAGCCATATCGCTCCCTTTATTTACATACTTGCAAATATATTTAATGGATTTGACTGAATTACAATACTCCACATTTATATGAGCCTTGAATATTTTCGATAATAATGGACAATACGGAACCACCCAACGATTATCAACTTCAACGTCCTGGTTACGCATTCTAATGGTTGCCGTTTTGCCATTATCATTAGGTGATCTACGTCTATACAACGGATATCCGTCATTGCCCGTTATTGTGTCTGAAGTCAATTGTCTTGGGTATCGTTTCGAACACTTTCCATCAATCATACATGGCGAATTCATATTTAGTTCACCGCACGGACCATGTATCATGTTTTTAACGACAACATCAAATAACTCAGGATCAACAGTTTGATCAGGAATTTCACCTGATATAACGTTATCGATTTGATCCGGAGTTATTTTATTTACCAGCCAAATTAATATATGTGCGTGCGGCAATCCCCTTTTTTGCCATTCGATGGAGTACATATGGCAACGCACCTCTCCAAATACACGTAATTTCACAATTAAATCCATAAGTGCTTTCAATTTTCGCCGAAAAACACGTGCTGTAATGTCATGACGATCAGTTGTCGACTGGCCTTCAAATAAATTGTTCTTGATGTCATCCCACTGCGGATTACATGTAAATGTAATGAACAGATCCGGTCGACCGTATTTTCGTACATAAGACATTGCGTCTTGTGCATATTCGTTCATATGCCGTGGGCTACCAATATACGAAGATGGCAATATAGTTAAACGTCCGATGTCATTAACATTAGCATCATTCGCTATCGCATCTTGCAAATGAATATATTCTTCGGATCTTAATTTTGCTTGGTTGAAACGAATAAAATTAAGACGTTCAGTCTCTATTTTGGCATACATATCAACGATGTACTGATGATATAGTTTACCACATTTTAAGATATAATTTTGTTCTTGTGGACGAATCATCAATCGATACGAATAAAAATTCATGGCACTAACTTTTTTCTGTATATGTAGACCTGAAAATAATTACAAAATGTGACTTTAGAAAGTTGTAGAAATGAAATGTCAACACACTAAAAATAGGTCAATTATTTACCTGTTCGTGGATCAATCATTGGTATATTGATATGGTAACCATCGTCACCTTTCCAATGCAATATTGGGTACTGTAATGCATCGTAACTACGATGAAGTTCCGAAACACGTTGCAATTGCTCATTTCTACGATGAAGTACAATATCACGGGATTGAAACTGATCACCAAGAATTACAATTGCAACCTCATCAATTGTTGGTGCATTAAATCGCCTTGCATGCTCTCCAAAAGGTGTTCTATCAGCTCTTATTACGATTTTGTGATTATCAGTTGGCATACGATCGAGAGCAATTTTAAACAATTGAACTAATGCGTTATGCTGATGGAAAAACCTTTGTAGCTCACGAATAATTTCTCGTCTTGTATTCGAAACAATTGCACAACGTTGATCCAATTCACGATTTTCATCACCAATAAAATAAATTTGCAAAAATTGATGATCAGCGTCGGGGTATGGCAATAACGAACCAGCTTGATGATAAATCTGGCCCTGAATCTGTAACATGTATACAATTTTAGGTAAATCTTATATCAGTTTTTTTTTAAATATACTTTATGCTTCAGATTGATACAAACATGGAATAATCCTGTTGAAGTATTTACCTTAAACGTCGGCATAAAATTATCTCTAATAATTTTAGTTGCACCAAAAGAAGTCATTTGAAATGCCGAATTGTATTGTTGAATATGACTCAGAAAGTGCTTCGACGCTTGCGATGTCCCAAAAATAAATGAATACAATGGTTCGGGTGGAGTTTCTAATGCTGGCAATCTCACTTTGCCATTAGCACAACACATGCCGGGCGTTTCACCTGGAAAGTTAGCCGCATCACAATGTGGACATATTGCGTCCATCATTCCAATGTATCCATACATACTATAATCAATCTGACTGTTGTAATTAAAAGCAGCACGCATCATTTCAGCCAAAACAGCACGACGTATTCGTGATGGCCGTGCAAGATTCAGTACAGGTACTGGGTTAACAAATCCATTGCGTGCATTACGTTCACGCTGCGATGCATTAGCTTGTGCGCGTTCATCTGCAGTCTGTGATCGTCTTAGTAATGCCACATCATTTGCATTACGCGTTCGCCGACCTATATTTGCTCGTCTGGCTGGTGGCATTTTTCCCGTATGCACATATGTTTTCGCTTAAAAATCGAAAAAAAAAATTAAAAAAAAAAAAAAACAAATTCCCAAGAAGCTGTCGCATATGATGCTATGTGAAATCATATACGGCAACTTAGAAAAGTACACATAAATTCAGGACTCACCGTTTGTATGAATGCACTGCAAATGCAATTATGTGAAAAGAAATTTATCGCTGATAATATGCTTTAATCAAACCACGTCCAAAATGAACTGACGGCATGAATGACATAACAACGTGCTTGTCCTGTCAACAAAACTTCAAAAAAGTTTCTGTGAAAAAAGTTTCTATTGAATTCATTTATTACAAAAAATGTGACAAATGAGGAACCGCTCGACCGATTTTGTGCAAACTTCACATAAACCATCTACTAAATATGCCGACCAAATCCTAAGCATTTGGTTTGGATAGGTGAGCCCGTTCTTGAGTTATGGAATTACAACGAAAAGTGGCATTGATTTTTATATATATACATAGATAATCTAATTTTGATAGAAAAGGTGATTTGGACGGATTGCAATCACTCATGGAAAACTTGCTTAAAACACTATTCAGGTACAAGGATCTAAAGTTAATTTATCTTCAGATCGTTCTACCTTTATACCTAAAAATAACTTAATTTCTTGTAAATCTGTCATACTAAATTCTTTCAATAAACGATTTTTATACACTTTTAAACTATGTATATCTTTTGTGCAAATTATTAAATCATCGACATATAAAACAATGTATACATTTTTATCCATACTATTCTTATCTAATATGTATAAACAAGGGTTTACTCTAGAATTTTTGAAACCTATATCTTTAAGAGTATGATCGAAACGCTCAAACCAACATCTAGATGATTGCTTCAAACCGTATAGTGTTTTATTTAACTTGCAAACTTGGTTTAAACTAGCTGAGACACCCTTTGGAACTTCCATATAGATATCTTCCTTAAGAATGCCGTTCAAAAAAGCGGTTTTTACGTCCATATGATGGGCATGTAAATCAAACTGATTCGCAAGAGCTAAAATAAATCGGAACGTTGATATTCGAGCTACTGGAGCGAACGTTTCGTCATAATCTTGTAAGCATTATTGAGTGAAACCACGAGCTACTAATCCAGCTTTATACCGTGCAGGTTCACCCAACTCGTTATTTTTAACTGTAATTACCCATTTTGAGCTTATTATGTTAACATTTTTAGGTCTTTCTATAAGAGTCCAAGTATTAATACTATGAATAGACTCTATTTCACTTTCTATGGCTTTCAACCATTTACTAGTATCGTCCCTATTAAAATGTTTATCATAAGTACATGGTAATGTTTGAACAGTTGTGAGCGATAAGTAAAAATCAGGGTCATCAATCTTTTTATAATCAATTGAGGGTAATTTGAGAATTCTTGCACTACGTCTCAGTTTGCTAGATGAAGGTCCAGCTTCTGAGCTATTATATCTGAGCTATTAACATTATTTTTATATTTACGTTTAACATTTGGATACGCAAGGTAAAATAACAAAGTCAATATTGGAACCTTTATTTCAATGTTATCATCAATCAGATAGATGTAGGTTTGGAATAAATTTCCTTATTATTTTATACTTCACAAGAAACAAAGCAATATATACCGAAACTGAAGTGGGGGCAATGACTAGTGGAGGCAAATGGGAATTTTTATTCCCATTTGCCTCCGGTGGCAATCCTTGCGGGGGCGACTGGGAATATACGTCTTGAGGTTGGGCCCGGACGCGGTTGATTTATAGCGGAACCGGTAGCTCGAAACTTGATAACCCATTTACGAATCGAATTTTCGTTTGGTCCATCGCGTAAACGTCTGATATTGTAGAGAGACACAATTTCGAATTTTTACTTATTAGTTGAACTTATTCAAATAAACTTTTTTCATCGTAGTAATATCTGATACATTTTCATTAGATATAATTTTCAGTTATTTTTTATTTTTTTCAGTTGCATTATTATGTTTATAAGTCATTTCTACTCCGGTATCATTCTGCATCTCGTTCTCGCGAACTCCTCTCCACATGGAACATTCTCCGGTATCATAAACAAAAGTGGCGCTCCACGAAGATGGCTGCCTTCGCAGCTATCAGAGTTCATCCTGGTTGGTAAGGACGGTGTGAGCAATGAAGGAAAGCTGGAAACGTCACCAGTACTACCCTTATAAAAGGGTAGATGAATTAGTAGAGATTCAGCATCTTCATCGTCGGTGACTTTCCTTTTTTTTCTTTTGACTCATAACAGTCGTGGTACTATCGCGCTTTCACTTATTTTTATGGGTATCAAAAATACTTTCATCACTACTTATATTAACATTCCTCTTGATCTTCGCTATAGTTTTCATTCTCAGAGTAATCAGACCTGGTTTCATCGCTGCTAGTTCTCACGAGCTCATGTTGGTCCTTTTGGTCACCCGCTGGATCATAATCTACATCAGAAACTGAACCATTAGTAGCATAGTGGTTCGGCAAAGTACCACCAGAGAAAGTTGGCTCAAATATTTTCATTTTTATGTTGTTGCGTGCTCTTTTTCCCATCTACAATAAAAAAAAGAAATAAATTAAAGTATATGTTATAATCAGTATTAATATTTTAAAATAACATTGTTATCAAATCTACACGTACCAAAAACGTGTAAATCTTATATAAACAACATTTAGTACTTAGTGTTATGCCCAAAAAATACACCTTTTTTATTATTTTTATTTCGTCTCGCTCGCTTTGTTTTGTTCATCTAAAACAATTGAATTTTTATAATTATAACTAAAATAAAACTACTCTTGTTGCTCAAATATGAAAATAATTATTGTATTCTATATAATGCACGCTCTATTATTTAAATACAGTACAAAATATGTGATAACTTACGATTTAAAAGTTTCGTAACTCGGAAGGTCACTTAACTGTACACGTGCGTCGCGTAATGGTGGACAGGCCGACAATATAGTTTAGATTATTTTGTAAGTTATTTATTAGGCAACTATCTAGTAATTCCTGGTCTATATTATATACAGTGAAAGGTTTTTTAAATGCTATTGTCATTTCGTTATCGGTGGTGTTCTGTATGACTGTTTGAGCTAACGAGTCTACACAGTTAACAATAGCGTCAGGCAGCGAACTCCTGGACAGAATTCGACATGGTTTAGGATTGCTTCACCGTTGTCTCCATTGTTGGCACTTTAACACGAGTTTCCAATCTTGGTGGAATTACAATTTGGTAAGACGGGTTATTTAATTGGGTATTTCAGTTGTGTTTGTCTGTAAGACTTGGTTTTTCATGTCTATGTTGGCTTCAAACTTCTTAAGTGGTTCTGATCAACAGTATAAAGGTCTTATAGGGTCAGCCCTATAAGACCTTTATACTGTTGATCTACGTTATATATGTAAAACTTATGGTTAATGTCTGTAGGTATTAAACGTGTCTGTTAGAGGGTAGCATGCAACTTCGTTATGCTGGCTACGTCAGTTAGTGCTGATGATTTCGAATGGTTCAATATCTTTATAGTACTGAAAGTACTGGTCGGCTAACTCTTCGTTAATCGCGATAATAAACGATCGCGAGCTACCTGTGTCTATTAGAAAAAAATGCTACTAATTCAGGTAAGTAAATATGGGGTAGCCTAAGGCCAGTGTAGTTTAATTGTATTACTTCTGCTGGTTCGGTACAGAGGCTTCTATTTGAAAATTTTCGTTTTCCGTCTCGTTTTGAATGCAATTCGATTGGTTATTATCATCTGTGACTTCTACAAGTTCTGTACACTTATTGCCTTCAAAGAAGTTTAATACTTCGTTATTAGAGTCAGTTTCGAGAGGTTCTTCGATCATATTGCTTCGTACCGTTCTCATCGATACGTCAGCGTTTTGTCTTGGTGGTGGATTATTAACACCAAAGCGAAATTGTTGGTTGGGGTTGGCTTTGAAGAAGCTCGTTTGCTTATAGTTATTTATTGTACGTGGAAGCTGTTGCGGTTGATACGGAATCTGGGGCCTTTGGGCCTGATTCTGTAGTTTTGGTTTGGGTTGGAAACCAAATCGCGGGTTAACCTGGTTAGGATTCGGAATGAAATTAGGTTTAAACGCGTACTATTGCTTAAAACCTGGATTTGCTGGAATACCCCTCTCGCCGTAGACGCGCCGGTCGTCAGCGCTGTGAAGCGGCAGCCGATCTGCGACCTCCATGAGAGGAGAGGCCTGCGGGCAACTGACCGGGGGAGTCAGACGTCCGCTATATAGGCGGGAGTAGGCGTTAGCGTAGTGTTCCACGCGCGCTACTCGAAGAAGGAAAGCAGCCTCCTAGGACCGCTAAGGTGGCGGGACCTGCCGAAAACATAGCGGTAGGTCGAGGCCTGCCGGGTGTGGTGATTCCGTAAGGGCAACCCGGGTCACGGTCACAGGCAGTGAAGGAACACCGCGGTGGTTTTAGCCGGTATGAGTCCGGCACGCCCCCTCGTCGTCCCCACGGCGCGGGAAGTCCATGAGGATTTCCATCGGGGTAGAAAAAAAAAAAGTGTTACTAGGATTAGTTTTGTTCTTATTGCGAGAGTTATACCTGGTTTGCAAATTGACTTCCTCGGTAATGATACTCATTTTTTTTTTATGGAATAGGAGGCAAAAGAGTAGACGGATTACCTGATGGTAAGCGATCAGCGCCGCCTATGGACACCCGCAACACCAGAAGAGTCACAGGTGCGTTGCCGGCCCTTTAAAAAGGAGTACGCTCTTCTCTTGAAGGTTTGAAGGTCGTATCGGTTCGGAAATACCGCCGACGACAGATCATTCCA